CATTCGTAAAACATAAGAAGATCAGCAGAAGTGATCAGAAGGGGGTTGTAGGGCGGGAGCGCGTGCAAGGAGTCGAACATGTCGACAGTATTGGTGTTGTCCGTCCAAATTGCCAAGCGATGAGGAGTGGGTGTAGTGGGCTGAAGAACTTGGACAATTGCGGATACAACGGCAAGCGCCTCGAAGTAAAAAATGCGGTCGCGCGAAATGCCACGAGGGAGCTTCACTGTGCGAGAAGGGCATTGGAAGGCAATGTCGATGGATGGGATGTAGTAAGCCATTCCGTCGTTAGACGCATCTGTGTAGACGACGAGATCGGCTTGATCTGGGGTCCACGTGCGAGATTTAAGCATGTGGATGCCGTGGGAAGACTGAATATGTTCGGCGATCCAAATGAGTTCGCGACATAATCTAACGCTGACCCAGATGACGAGGTAAGGCTGCTCTTTTCCTTTGATCTTGGCGTACAGGGTACTCAGGCCAGGCCGCAAGAGCGGGAAGACGTTGAGGGCCCAATTGACCCATCCGCCGAGACGCTGGAAATGTACAAGTGGCCTACGTTGGCGTGGAACTGCGAAGCCTCTGAGAGCGACGGCGAGATCTTCACGGCTGTGGTCGGGCATGGAGATCGTCATGGAGCATGTATCAACGAGCAAACCGATGACAACGAGGGAGGTGCCGGATTCTTGTTTGTGTTTTTCGTGTGGAACGCCTATCTTATCCCAAAGTTTTAACAGCTGCGCTTGTTTCTTGGGGTAAAACGTTTGATAGGGTTCATACCATTCGATATTGTCGGCGAAATCCCACGAGAAAGTGTCATCGACGTACGCGAAGAGATCGACTATGAATTTAATAAAGACGGCGATCCATAACACGAGGGAGAAGAAAGTGGCCCAGACACGACCTGAACCGCCACTGCCAAAATTGTTGCGCCAATCGACGCGTCGCTCGCCATCGAATGACACCGTCTGTTTGATTTGCCATAGTGGGTGCATGGGCAATAGACGGTAAGCTTCAGAGACGTCTGATTTCCATACGACAAGAGGTCGATCTCCGTAGGTTTCTCGCGCTCGAATGAGAGCTTCGCCCAGTTGCTGTAAGCCATCAAGGTGGAGACCACGTTCTGACTTAGGGATGAGCGAGTTAAGCGAGTATTGACCAGCGCTATGATCGACTACTAGTCGCAATTTGTCTGAATGAGGTTTGGGGACGACCCAAACGGGAACGCTATACATGCCAGGCAATAACCCAGGGCCGAAGGCAGGCGAGAAACGACCTTTATCAACCTCCGCCGCAATTTGCCGCTTTGCAAAAGCAGAATGAGCGGGATCGAGCAGAGTCTCTCGACCTTCAGCGTTATCGAAGGTTTCGGGGTAGTCTCGGTCTTGCGCGGAAGCCCAAGGCCAAAAACCATCTCGAAGGGATCGACACACAGAGTGAACTAAGTCGCGGTTGGGATGCGACTCCAAGAGGTTCTCGAAAGTATCAACGTTAACGGGCGTATCGACTTTAAATAGGTGTGGATTATCAGTAATCGTCCAGAGTGCAGTGAGATTCATGACTTCTTCTTCAGGAGGTTCAGGGACTGCTGGCGCGGTAAACGAAGTTTCTGCAAGTGAAATCCTAGGAGTGTGAGACGAATCAGACCAAACTAAATCTCGTGCGTAACGCGGTTTTTCCTTTGCGTTGCGCTTTTCAACGTTCCTTTTCACAGACTCGATCGACGTGTCCTCGGACGCGGCACTTTGCGCATACATGGGCATAATTACATGCGGTAGCGGACCTGGTGCATAACCCAGCATTCCAGTTTCTGCAGGGCTCTCGGCTCTGTCGTCGTCGATTTCCTCCGTGTAGATTCCCTCCGATCACAAAGCTGGATCCGGCGTTCGTGGATCCGGCGGGACCGAAGATGAATCGTATCTGCAAGTCCTGAAAATCGAGGAAATCGGTGAGCAAGAGGTTCCGTCTCTGCCCGACCCTTGTTCGTACGGCGGAGTCGTAAGCAATGACCCCGCTGTGTTCGGCGGCAGGTCGCGCTTTGAAGAAGGATTTGATATGCTGGGAGTAAGTTCGCACTTCGTCGACACGATGTGGGAAAATGAACGTGAACGCTTCGGCGAAACTTTCAAAAGCGGTTGTCCAGTCGCCGAACGTTGTAACGCGCTTGGTAGGAGAGGTGCTCGCATAGGAGAATTCGATGTTTCCAATGCGCTCGGTGGTTCGCTCGACGTCGGCGGATGCGTACAAACCGGAGAGGACGTGGTCGAAGTCGACTGTAGCTCCGCTGAGGAGCTTAGTCCACTGCGACTCTGGGAACTGTGGAACGTCGAGTGAGAGTAGCAAATTGGTCTTCGCTCTCTTGGCGTCGACATTGATCGTCTCAAGGATCTTGATGCTTCGTAGGATGGATAGCGTTCGGGCGTCATATTGAGTCGCTCCAGAAGAGAGGGACGGTCCTGCGCTCGCTCCTTCGAGGTCGCTCGTCGTTTTCCTGGAATTCCACGGGAGACGTGCGACGTCGAGCTTGCGTCCGCTTTCATCACCTTCTTCGTTCTCTTCTGGATTGGCTCGTCGGGGTCGTTTAGCTGCTCGTTCACTCGTCTCTTCCTCTTCGTGTGCAGGTTCTCCGCGAGGCGTAGATCCGCTGTTGCCCGTGGCCTCGGTACTTCCTGCCGTCGACTCTCGTAATCTTTCGTAACTCTCGAGCTTGTCGTAGAAGGATTGCATGGCCAGAGCGTGAGCGGCGAGTGCGTCTTCATCGTTGAAATCTCCGGCGAAGGGGATACTTCGCTGAATCTCGATAACAGCACGGGTTTTCGAGATATCTCCCGTTCGGAAGCGTTCGACGATGCCCTCGCACGATGATATGGCGGCAGCTTGTATCTCAGGCTCTGGGGTACTTCCTCGTTCTGCATTCTTGTCTTGAGCGTGCGACATGAATGTAGCAAAGCGATGTTTATTGAAAATAGCGCGAAAAGATTTACACTGTAACGTAGCGGCTACGAAGGTAAGAGAAACCGTTAGGTACGCTGGCTGCGACGAAGTCGACGCACTCACGCGAAGAGTCAAGAGAGAAACCATGAGGTCCTTCCTGGCTCCTCGCGCGTATATGTGAGGCTCGTCAGTGGGTCTGTTGAGACCAATGTCTTAGACAAAACCGGTCTGGTTGTGTGCGTACAGCTGTCGCCGGTCGCGTGAGCTTGTCGGGTGATACTCGTCGCAAGCACCAGCGCAGCACATGCGCTGGTCATGCGCGCATGAGAACGGCGCAGCGTGAGGACGAGTGGCGACGTCATGTAAAGGTGCTGTGCGGTAAGTGTACGGCGCAGGGGCGCGTGACGCGGAGAATGCATGGCGCGGCAGACGCGTGGTGCAGGGAAAGGTATGGCGCAGCAAATGCGCAACGCGGAAGATGCGTGGTGCAGCGGATGCATGGCGCTGCAAAAGCGCAGACAAAAGGAAAAGGCGAGAGACGTTGCGTTATCGCAACGAGGAGCGCAGACGCAGCAGATGCGCGAGAGAGAGAGAGGGGCTGAGAGAGCCCGTTGCTCGCATTAGCCGACGGACTTGATTAGATTTTTGTAAACCAGTTTAAATTCAATTAATGAGTTTTCGAAAGAATATTCCTGCAAAAGCATCAGAAACAAAGGTTTAATTCCAAAAGCTCGAAGAATCGAAGTTTTCTGAGGAGACGAGTGTTCCGCCAGTAGATAGGATAATATTGAATAATCGATGGTGACTCACCGACAAACGAGACAATATTGCCAAGACTTCAAAATAGCAACCAACCACAAGCAACAATGCGGGCACACACGGAGGCATAGCAACCACTCTATCATGAATGAAAGGCGTGCCGAGGGCAAGTGCAAATCTTCGGAACCACACGCCGGTAGGTGCGAGCACATCCAAGACATTATTTAAAATGTTGCGCATGCGATATCATATTCTGAAGTACGCGTGACCAGGAATGAATGCTGCCAAGAAGGTACAGACGTGGGGGCAGTACCTGCCATCACAAAGAGACACGTCGTACGACGAAAGAGGATACAGTGGAGATTCAGAAAGGGAAAACATAAGACGCGATGGGATACGATTTTCCTCGCAGGGATTCGTCCTTGGAAACAACACCCCGACGGTGTGAGCAGCAGGAATAAATTTTGACCGTTCGTGACTTGACGACCTCATGGCCAACATCCTGTACAGGAAAGCGGCGTTCGAGTGCGCAATCTGAAAGAAGCTAAGTCGAGCTCGCACAACGGACTACGCTTCCAGTCGAGTCAACGCACTAAAATTCGAAAGGGGAATGAATCAGATCGAAAACGCAGGTGAGAAAAATGGTGACTGTGAACGTACAGAACATTCTCTAAACATTTGCGAACAGTATCAATGGACCGACAGGCAGGGTAAGAAGCACCATTTCTTTGAAGTCTGTGCAAGTGCGAACATTCAATATTCGACTGTGAACATCGGCCAAAGCTTGTTGTCATCGTGTAACTTTTGCAAGGCTCTTGGGCAATGAAACAAAGATGAATGTAGCAACATATTGACCTGGGTCGACCATAGAATTGTGAGGAAGCAGCAGCAGTAGATATCACGATGTCAATCTATCGCACCCACATCGTTGTAGTTGTAGCTGAGAAATCTTTATCTTTCGACATGGAGCCCCTTAGCTTAGGAGGAGTGAGACTTGGAACTCAGATTCGTGCCGCTGAAGCGTTGAACGTTGAACCACCGAAGACATTTCAAAGCCAACAGAAAATTGTGCGTGGCGGGTCCCGTGCTAGGACCCGCTATGGGTCGTAGCGGGTCGTCAAAGTCCGATCAAGTTCCTCCAAGATTGATGGAAATGCACAGCCATACGGCGATCATATCTAACTGTGAGCCTCCTCCTACCGTCCCCTGCCGTAGTGGCGTCTTTTCTTTTTGGAGCATTCACGATTCACGACACGCAGCTAACAACCGATTAGCCCGTGAGGAAAACAATTTGCAAAGTAATTATACTCTCTGACTGGGAATTGAACCCAGCTCTCCCGCGACAGAGGCCTGTGGGAAACCGATGACAGGCGGGTGTACTAGCCAATACACTATCAGTGACACTTAAAACATGTCTAGAGTATTCTCTTATGCTCTTGAGTGGTTTCAGAAATTTTACCCAGAAGCCTGTTTTGTGTTTGTCTGATAATCTGTATTGTTCTTGACCTATTGTATCGCTGCATTTCGATGGTTCCGGCAGGACTCGATTGTTCATACGTTCTCTCGTCGTGATCGTACTGTTATGGAAATGCAGAGCATTCAGGCTGAACCCTAATGGCTCCAGTCCTCTTCTCTTTTTCTTCGTAAATCGCTCCCAGATGAAGCTTGAAGTTGCTAACACGTTGATCTAACAAAAGTGAGTCCTCCTTATATTCTCTATGTTGCCTTAAGTATGTCTGATTTATGTCTGACTGGGCATTGATACCATGTTTGAGACACAATTATTCTGTGCATACATATATGCCCTCGCATTTTCTCCGGGATTGGTTTTCTTGACCCCTGCGTAGTGCGAGCCCCTTCTGGCTATAAAGTCCTTGCCTGTACGAAGACTCTTAGTCTCTTCTCATAACCAACCCTGGCGGTGGAATCTTTTGCTTTTCAGTCCAAATTGTCTTACATACCAACGCACGTTAATCAGCATAAATTATCTACCCAAATGTTTACTACCTCTCGCACCAGAGCAGGCTCTGCCATCTCGGTCAGAGCCGTCCTCTCCCTCGTCGTAAGTCGCCCAGACCACTGCACCAAACCCCCGTATAATTACTCAACGTATAAGCCCTATCTCAAGCGCTCCGCGGCCGCACGTCCCTCCTTCCAAAGATCCCTCTTCTTCCGCCGTCCGTTAACGTCGTCGTCTACTGCTTCTGCTGCTGCCCGGACGCCAACCGACGACCTGCGTAAGCTGGACATGACGCAGCTCGAAGAAATCGACGCTGCCGCACTCATTGGGCTGGGCATCGACGAGGACATCGATCTCCAACTGTATCTCCTCGAAAGCGAAAGTCAGCGCCAGCGTCGCTCCTGTGCGCAGATAGCCGATCCCCTGTGCCCCATCGCAGAGGAGCCCGAGATCGAGGCATTGTACACCGCCACGACCACAACGCCGCTCCTGGCGCGCCTGCCCTTCTTCTCGCCGCTCCTCACAAGCACTCCTAAGTTCCCTTCCTCTTCCCCTATGCTACCGTCGTCGACCTCTTCCCTCGTTCCGATCCACAATCGCACAGATGCGCACAGTCCCCGCTGTGCGGACAGTGAAACCGGTGGTTCGGCCTTCGCTCTTCCGAAGATGGCTGATTATACATGGCCCGAGCTCGCTGACGAGGCGATCATTTCGAGGAAGACATCGCTCTTGTCGCTCTTCTCTTTCTGATTTATCTACTCCGATCCCTCTGCGAAACTCCCCTCCTCCTTTCTCCCTCCGTCAAGTTCTGCCCCACCACCTCCCTCCGAGGGCGCAACGACAACTGAAAAAGCGAGCCAGTCTCGGCGGACCATGCACCTACGCTTCTGTGCTCCGTCATACCTCCTAAGCCACATTTTCCCTCCCGAATAAGTACAATATTCAAAATTGCTCATTAGACCCGATAGCTTGCACAGCTTTGACATTGTTTCTTGGCATCTGGTAGTCTAAGATCTTTTCAGGACTACCAAGAATTGAAAAAAAAAAAATCAGAAATAGAAATGTCCAATCGGAAAGAAAAAACACCCATACAAATATAGAGAGGAAACTGCCAAAAAGAGTGCACAAACCGTGCACGGATACTCATGTATAAATATATAATTATTGTCTTCGCATATAATTACATCGCTCCTCGTCCGTTATCGGGTGTAACCAGAAACTAAGGGTTGTGGCTATGAAAACAGCACACATTACGATCCACTCATAAAAATAAACAAGGGAGAGTATGCTATCCATTACGAAGTGAAGAGGCTACACAACTACGCTACCGGAATATCTATTCTACCATGTATAGACTTAACACGTAAGGAATGGACGCGCCGCAAAAGCGCAATACTAGGCTACATAAAAGTGAACATTATACATACATGCTCAGAAAAACAATGATCAACATTGCAACAACTTAAGTCCACACGCCCCGTACCACACGCCAGGATCAACGCACCGATGATTTCTTACTCGTCCTTCGCCGAATTGACTTTGAATGCCCACTGGTATCGAGGGGAGGTGGTCGCCGAAGCAGAGGGAGCAGCTGATGAGATGTCCATGACAACAGGAGGTGACGACGACGCAGGAGAGGTCGTGGCGGATGCAGCAAACGATGATGTCGCACTGGTGGTGCCCGGCCCCATGGAGACAGACGCAAAAGCAGAGGACGCCACGGACATGGTTTCGAAAGCAGCAACACGTGCGTCCGAGGAAGCAACGACCGTTGCAGTCGACGGAGTGCCCGCTACCGGTGAAGTTGACGAAGCAGAGTCCGATGATGAAGCGATACTTGCAGCTGCAGACTCAGCATTTGTAGGCACAGAGTCATCAGCGGTTGACGTAGACATCACCGCCGAAGCAGCAACGACCTCCAGCGCATCAGTCATGAAAGCCGTTGCAGAGACAGACGTGGATGATGCGGAAACCAACACCGAAGCCGAAGCCGACGTCGAAACACTAGTGACTTGAGCGCGGAAAACATCAGACGTGGTCGTAGACGCAGAGATAACAGCAGCAGATGAGGAAGCGGAAGCGGACGACGCCGATGAAGATAGTTCCGCTGCAGCAACAGTCACTGTCACCGTAGAGGCAGGAGAGACAGGAGAGGGCAACAAGTCAGTCGGGTCAGGTACAATAGTGTTCGAGGCAGACGCAATTTTCGAGTTCGTGGCACCAGTGGAAGTCCCCGCGGCAGCAGCAGAGAGGGATGTCGAAGGATTGGACACGATCGTCGAAGAAGAAACAGTGGCACTGGAAGGGGCGGCCGAAATTGAAGAGGCAGCCTGGACCGTGTCTCCGCTAGGCACGAAGATAAGTGTGACGTCCTGGCCACCGCTTTGCGGCGTATCGCGAGTCAAAACACGGGAGTTTGTACCGTCGATAGATGATGCAGCCGCAGGCTGGACAGGCTGAGCACTGAACCACATAGGACTGAGTTTACCGCCAGTCTCGTTGAAAGCGAAGAATTGGCTCATATGCGGGGACATATCCGTAGCATTTCGACAAGGCATCACATTCAAAGACTCGGGCTGTGGCGGGTTGGGGTCATAAGCCGCACAATGACGCACTGTGTCAGCTGGATCAAGGCCAAGAAGCACCATTCGAACGATCTTAACGTCGCTGTCGTGACTCCCATCGTCGGTGGTGTAACTGGTGTTATTAGGCACTTGAACGAGATAAATGACAGTCGAGTTCTGCGTGGAAGCGTTCAGCGTCTTGGAAGAGCCGTCGTATAGCAGTGACCCGAGCACTTCGTCATCCTTCTGGAATGGGATATCAATTACGGGTTTCATGTGCGAGGTGACCAACGGACCTCAATATTGACGACACCAAGGGTACTATGTATTTCCTCGCGCCTCCTCGCAGTGGCAAACGGTCGATAGAACTTGGGAATGGAAAATGGCGCCTGATCACGCTTGGCGAGGTCGATATTGAGCAAGCCAGCGACATTCAGTTGCAAGAGGTCCCGACGCCCACTTTCATTGTGGTCCTGAAAAAAGATCATCAGACATCTGGCACAACAAAGATTTGATCTAAACTCGCCTTGTCCACAGGAACGGCATGAACATCCTTGATACTGACCGCGGCGAGCGTGCAGACAGTAGCGACAGTAGCAAGAGTAATAGCAACCATGATGAAACTTCGTAAATGGACAGCGAATCAAGCGAGCGGCGAAATTAGAGTACAATGTGCGGATGGCAGGAGAAAGATGAAAAAGGCGGGATAGCAAGATCACCAGGATCTGCAAAGGATGATGAGTGGAGGAGACAAGAAGTGAGGAAGTGTATTCGACGCGACGCGTCTCCCTTTATACTCACGATCCACTCTCCAATGGGACGACGTTGAGTGGCGTTGAGTGGCCGCGGCGAACGGGAAGCGCCGTTCCCTTCAATAAATTATTTGATTTCGCAAGGCGTCTGCTTTGCTGAGTTGTTTTTGTGTAGGGCGAGTGCCGCGACATCATGCTAAATGTTCGTGCGAAAAAAAAAAAGTGGTCGGAAGTGGACACGTGGGCGTGCTAAATATGACCTTCAAGCTTCAAGTTACCTAGCTGGAAGCTAGGTCTTTGTCGTAAGGCTTAACACAGCCGCCAGATACGACCAAACCGATCGATCGATCAACGTCTTCCCTTTCTTCCAAGGCTCTTTTCCACCATCATTTCGTTTTCGTGCATGTCAGTTCGAAGTTCTGTAATGTACCTCATCCTACCTCTCTCACCTACTGCTCATCCTCACAGGGACGGTATCGCGTTGCGATACAGACCGAATGTCTCACAGTGATTTTTTTGATTCCATCATCGCCATCACTCTTCGTCAATCGTCGTTGACGTCACCTTCCAAATCCTCCACTGTCCTTTTTTCTACAAATTCTTATATGGATTCTCAACGTCTTTCTTTTCTTGCGACCGTCCTTTGCAATACAAATCCGTTTTCATGCGTGCGCGATCGAAGTCGTGTAATGTACACCATCATACGCCTCTCCTCTACCACTTATCCTTACTACATATGCTTTTCGTTGACATGTACATATCGTACCGATTCCATAAGTTTACACAATCATTTTTTCTGACCTCTCCTTCAATTTTTGTTACGTATATTGACTGTAAATCCATTAGCAGAAATCATGACCGAATACTACTACCGTGAGTACGACAAACAGGTCAACTTTGCGTTTGCCATGCATGGATGGAGGTACATACGTCTGCGTCCGTTATAAGACAATTTCCACTGTCATATTCGGAAAAGGGTACATTACCAAGCCAAAAAACGGCTGTACCATAGCTACAGGGGGATACGATATGCATACGCATACAGCGGTCGCCTTACGATGCTTTACGCGTTAGACAGGACCGACGCGATATGCGAATCTGGTAAATAGGCAGACTGCATAAACC